GCTGGTGTTGTGTGAAAGTCTTTTGGTTAAACCCACTGCAGGAGCCCTGCAGAGTTAGTGAACACTGGAATAATCAGTGGATGGGAATAGAAGGATGATATATGGTGAGACCCAACCTCCCACTCCCTCCTCCATACCCAACTACCTCCAAACTCCAGGAGAAGACACTTTTCTGGTGGGCATCCCCAGACATTGTTTTCCAGATGATCCAGCGAAATGGCCTAGCCCAGAAACCAAATGGTCAAAGCAGAAACAGATTAACTAGAGTTGAAGGCAAGCACATTTTCAAAGCTACTGCAGTGGGGAGTCCTGGAAAGAGACTCCTCAAGCACAGTGGGGTTGTGGTTTTACTGGACAATGATCAGAATACAAAAAGTATGGGGTGGTAGGTGGGATGAGGGGCACGTTTGCTGGCCAAGGCGGGGTGGCCATACAGCTTGTCATTTTTCAACATTCCTGTGGTTTGGGGAATTGGCCAGCTCTGGTTAGCATATGGATGCTAAACAAAACGTTTAAAAAAAAAAAAAAGCAAAACTGAAACTAAACAAACCAGCTTTGGTTTGCAACCTACTTGAGATTTATTACAACTATCTCTTTTTCTGTTTTTTTTTTTCTTTTTCTTTTCTTTCTTCTTTTTTTTTTTTTTTTTTTTTTTTTTTTTAGGGCAGTAACTAAGGTGTAGTCTCCTAGGGTGCACTGTCAGAATGAATCAGCTCCAACTGTCTTCAGGCTTTAGGTCTCTCTGCTAAAGATCAAATTCCAGAAGAGAGTCGGATCGGAAGCAGCTTTTGCTTCATGCCTGCCCTTTGGCAAGGCAACTTACTGGTAGCACTTAAGGGTAGAGGGTGGGAGTGAGTGGAGAAAGTTATTTATCAAAAGAAGGTGCATGGATGATGATGACCAAATTCCAGATGTCCATTCCAGGGAGACTTCCCCAGTGGCCTGCTTAGGGGATGGCAGGCCAAAGGTAGGCTCAGCAACTCAGTACACAGCTGATTTCTAGAGAGTTCAGTATCAGAGTGGTTTCATTATAAAACTGGTGATATCATCATTGAAGAAATTTGGAAATCACAGAAAGTCTAGGAAAATAATTTTTAAAAAGCATCTATGATTCTACTAGCCAGAGTTAACCGCAGCTAATTTTTCAGGGTGTGTCTTCCTTTTTTTTGAGACAGGATCTCACTTGTCTCCAGGCTGGAGTGCAGAGGTAATCATAATGTAGCCTAGAGCCTCTGGGCTCAAGTATCCTCCTCCTCAGTCTCCTGAGTAGCTGGGACCATAGGCTTGTGCCACCATACCTGGCTAATTTTTAAATATTTTTGTAGAAGATAGGGTCTCACTGTGTTCCCAGGCTGGTCTCAAACTCCTGGCCCTGGCGATTCTATCCACCTCGGCCTCCCAAAGTGCTGGAATTACAGGTGTGAGCCACCACACCTAGCCTATGGATTCTTTTTTACAGAGTTGAGGCTACACTGTGTGCATATTTCATATTAAGCACTGTGTATTGACTCAACTGTTAGAAAAGTGTCTTTTGTAACATTGGTCTAGTGACTAGGACTTGAACTGTGGCTGTGCTACCTGCTGAAGAGTAGGGGGACCTTCTTTGGCACATTATTTCACCGGGGACCAAGCAAAGTGCCTAATCCTGGGAAGTGCTGCCTGCCTCTTTCATCCAGAGGAAGTTCTATCTGGACATCAGCCAAGGTGGAATGGGAGCTTCCATGGACATAGTGCTGCATAATGAAGGCCCTAGTTCCATATTAGAATCCATATTAGAGTCCTTCTGTTATGAATAGATCACATTTCCATCTCATTATTAAAGAAGACACTACCTTTATTTAGTCACTTAAAAATGATAAGAATATTTCATGATGAAGAGTAAAAATCACTAGAAGGGCCAGGAGTAGTGACTCACGCCTGTAGTCCCAGCACTTTGGGAGGCCAAGGTGAGCAGATGGCTTGAGCCCAGGAGCTTCAGACCAGCCTGGGCAACATGGTGAGACCCCTACAAAACATGTGCTAGGCAGGCATGTTGGTGCATGGCTGTAGCCCCAGCTACTGGGGAGGCTGAGGTGGGAGACTCACCTGAGCTCAGGAGGTCAAGGCTGCAGAGAGCACGCACCACTGCAGTTCAGCCTGGGTGACAGAGTAAGACCCCATCTCAAAAAAAAAAAAAAAAATTCATCACTTAAGGTGGGAAGGGGCGGGTTTAATTATCCCATGGTGTTTAATTCACCCAGTTGGAAATATAGCTATACCCATTTAATAATGCTATGTATACACAGATGTGTGTATTTAGGCACCTGAACTTGTGTATTTAATAATATTAAACTGAGAGCTTGTCTGCTTCAATCTTTGCTGACATTTGCTATGGATATAATTCAAGGTGATATAAGAATTCTCTGTCACCTGGAGCTAGAGAAATCCGTACATCTCCTGCAATTAAATCTCGGAAAGAGTAGGCCATGTTCCTATTAATAGGGTCCACCCTTTCAGAATCGAATCACAGTGGGATCACTTTGAACAGGTCCACAGAGGAGAATCATTCAACTTTGCTTTTTGACTCATTCCACGTGACTCAACGGGCCAGCCTCTCATTCTAATACCTCTTAGGACACTTGCTAAGACACATTATCTGCACAGAAAAGGTCCTCCTAAGTCAAGGCTGGGGAACATCGAGCCATTGAATGCCATACACCTGTGACCCACGAGGGGCTCTATTACTCCCTTCATGAGCCTTCATGGACGCCTTCACTCTCCTCATTTCTAGTTATTTTTCCCTGGGAGTCGGCTTCAGCCCTCTTTTTTCATTCTGAATTATCTTGCCTGCTTCCAGGGTTCCAACTGTTCTGTGAATTGTGGCTTCCTAATTTATATCTCTAGCCCAGACTTTCCTCAAATTCCAGACCCTCTTATCTACAGGATACCCCAGATTTCTACCTTAAAGTTGTCACTAGCACCACCTGCTCACCAAATCCCCAAACTTAATTTTCTCCTTGTGTTACTTTTTATCTTGGTGGTACCAAGAGTCTTGCCAAACTTGAAAGCTGGTAGTACTGATTCCTCCCTCACTCCATCCTCACTCTGTTCACTAAATCCTGTTTAATTCACTCCAGTTGGTCATTCAGTGAGTACATTTGTAAGCACCTGCTATGTGCCAGGCATTGTGTTAGGTATCTACTGTGAAATAGACAAGGTCCTTGCCCTCATGGCTTACAGTACAGCTAGGGAAACAATGTCATGAAGGAAATGTGTCCTGATTAGGTGCTTAGTCTGGGAGACAGGGAAGGCTTCCAGAAGAAAAGGGGAGATCTAAAGGGTGCCTTAAGAATTAAATGAATGAAAGTCATAGGTGGGGAGTTCAATTTCTACAGACAGAATCTGTATGAGCTCTGAATCACATGGAAGGAATGAGGCACGGCCTCAAGGGACTAAGAAACGACCTTCTGAAAATAAGTGGTCTTCCAGGAAGGCCATCATGGCTGAGGGGTAATGAATTGCAGTAATACTGAGACGGGAGGGAAGAGTGGGGAAGTGGGAGAGGCCCCATTGCTCAGCACCTTGTAAAGATTTTGGTAATTTTTTTTAAGAGGACAGAGGAGAATTTTCAAGGTGGGTGGGATGGTGGGTGGGGAAGGTTGAGGAATGACAGATTTCATATGAAAGTCACTCAAGCACAACGGAAAATGGATTAGATGGGGGCCTGGGCAGAGGTAGGGAAGGGTCCCATTGGCTTCCTCCTGCTCATCCTCGTGAGCCATGATCCCCAGTCCAGATTTGTTGTCTTTCTTGCCTTTGCAGCAGAAAACACCTCTACTAGTGTCCCTAGCAACTTACGTCAGTGTGGGTTGTCTCACTTCTGACAATAGAAAAGAAAATCAACAATCCTTCTTTGGGCTCAAAATAAAGTTCAAACTCCTTAGTCTGGCTACAGGTCCCTTCAAACCCAGCTCCTGTCTCTCACCAGTGCTCAAGATCCAACCACTTTTCACCGATACCCTGTGCTCTAGTCCATACAAGGGAGACCCGAGAGCTGGACTGTAGTTTGAGGTGGAAGGACCAGAGTAGAGGCACTGAGAGCTGCACCTGAGTCAGCTCCAGAATATTAACTGAATAGAAAGTAAAGGAAACCGCCGGAGTGGGGTTTCAGGCAGTTGTTTCCAGCACCTCAGAAGTTGGCTACGAGAGCGTCAAAGACCAATATTTGGGAAGCCTCAGGGACAAGGCATCTGGAGGTTTGACAAGACCAAAGGTGTAGTCGCTTGGGAGGTAGTTCCCAGGATGAGTTCCTCCGAGCACTGACAGATGGGAGCTTAAGGACAGGACTTCAACCAGTAGAGAACTGAGCTTCCCAGACAGCCATGACCACAGCTAGCAAAGAATGGGCAGGACTCAGAGACCTGTAACTCAGAAGCTCAAGGGCAATGGCTGACTTGAGGATGACTTGGTAGGAGGAGAACGATGAGAACATCTCTTTATATTCTACCTGTCTGGAGCCAGAAATTTCCACTTGAACAAAAGGAGCAAGGCCAAGCTTCCAGTCAAGGCTAGAGCTAGAAGTGCGTGGAGAAAGGAGTGGGCAGCTCCTGCCTTCGCCTGCACCAAGTTCAACAAACACACAGTCATAGCCATGGCTGGTCCCCAGAGCACACACAAGGCAAGGACTTAGTGGCCGCCCATGCACCCCGGGGTGAGTTTCGCTTGGGGAGACCCCATCCTCCTTGAAGGTGAGTGAAATCTCAACATGAGTATGGTTCTGAGAGTAGCCCTGTAATCCTGAGGAGGGCCTCTGGAGACCATAACTGTGTACAAATTCACATGGTAACCAGAAGACTATGACATACTTCAGAAGGCAGAGGTCACAGAACACAGGCTTTAAAGTAAGTGAATCATGTGTGCCTCATTTATTTTTAAAAGCAACTTGAGAAGGGCTTAGAACAAATTTTTTCCTGAGTGCCGATTTCCCACAGGTACTCACAGAACAATAAGGTGTGACCATAATGGTTGCACTGAGTTGTCTCTTGACAGTGTCAGAAGGGGACATAAAGAAGGTGGACAGAGAACTAAGGCAACTGGAGATGCATCGACTTAATTTAGCATCGCGTGCCTGTGTGATTGTATATGCACCCTACTGCTGCTGTGACTTGCACCCATATCCATACTGCTTGTGCTACTTCCAGTTTATCGCGCTCTGCGGCCTGTGTGATTCTACCCATGTTGCCTGTGTGATTACAAGCTTTTACTGTTCGCGACTGCTGGCCAGAAGTTTGGAGAGGAAAGCCATCAGAGCTATAGAAGCATGAGAAGCGAGAGCTTGCCAAGTAAAATAACTTATTTTTAGATTTTTATAGTTGGTATATCAGCCTGGAATAAGGAAAATATGCATAATCAATACTTCAAACAAAGATTAAAAGGGTTCAGGATAATGACCCTGGTGACTTAGGAAAGATTTGGGAAAGAAGAGTAAATGAGTCCATGATGGGAATTGTTGGGTTCTCAAAAGACAATGTAATGATGTCGTATTGGCAAGGTCGCTGTAGTTTATAGCAAGAATGCCAGTATGATAAATAATGCGGCTTAATGAAGGGAAGCAGGTGTCGTTAAAAGCTATTGAAGCAGCAAAATTCAAACATTTTTCCTGGTTATGAGTAAAGTGATTTGAGTATATTTGGACTTACAGAAATGACTATAGAGAAGTAATAATTGATCAAATCCTTAATGTGCTGAGGCTTACAAGTGAGAGCAAATTGAACAATAGAGGCATTGCCTTGGTCTTGTGGGAATATCATTCTCTCATTCCCACTCCAGACAAAGATCACCTTTGTGTCTGGAATTAGGTCTATCATGTTGGCTCTCTCACTCTAGCAAAGGTCTTGCAAATAAACTATGGACTGAGTTGTAGCTTTCAGGATAGACTTGAAAGGCTTTTTAATTGAATTGGGTAATTAAAAGAGTCAGTTTAAACAATTTTGTTTTAGATTATATTTTCTTTTTATCTGAGAGCCTTTCCTTTCTAACTTTTACATATGCCATTTAGTCTGTTACTGTTGATGAAAAAGATGGTTCAAAGTGCTGTCCCTGGTTAAAGAACAATACATTCATACACTGAAATAAAAAGTAAACATAGAAAGGATTGATGAAGCATTTTTCATATTGATGTATTAAGTCAAACAAGCAAAGTGCAGAAAAACTGATAAACAGAAGATAGATAGATAGATAGATAGATAGATAGATAGAGTCTCTTGATGACAGTGACAGTGCTGCTTCTTGGAAAAAGCAATAGGAGACCGGGTGCAGTGGCTCATGCCCAAACCCAGCACTTTGGGAGGCCGAGGCGGGCAGATCACCTGAGGTCAAGAGTTCGAGACTAGCCTGGCTAACATGGTGAAACTCCATCTCTACTAAATACAAAAAAAAATAGCCAAGCATAGTAGCAGGTGCCTGTAATCCCAGGTACTTGGGAGGCTGAGGCAGGAGGTTCGCTTGAACCCAGGAGGCAGAGGCTGCAGTGAGCCAAGATTGCGCCACTGCACTCCAGTCTGGGTGACAAAGTGAGACTCTGTTTCAAAAAAAAAAAAAAAAAAAGGATACTATTGTCTAGGTCACCAGTCACCAATGGTCATGAATGAACCTCCCTCATAGCCTGGGAGCTTTCACCTGTAAATTCATCTATACTCTTTGAACCAATGTTTGTTTTTATTTCTTAGGGTATCAAGTTACATAAATTGCTCACACTTGAGGCAGGGCTCTTTTAAAATATTTGGTCCGTTGGAAGTTTCTCAGGAGCAGATCAGTATCCAGTTCTCCCTACCTTTGGATACTTGAATACCCCTTTGTCCAGGTCTTTTTCCAGCCTCTGTCTCCTGGCTGCTCTCCCCATCCCCAGACTCCTACCAATTAAAATGCTCCTCTGCTCTGTGCCATCAACTCTCTTTATGCCTCTTTCAGGAGCCTTGCAGGTTTCTGGCGTCAGTAGAAACAGCTTCTGCTTAATCTCTCAGCAGTGTAGTTTAGGCAAGAGGTAATACTTTCTCTTTGTTTAGGATGTTTCTTCCTGACAGCCTCTGTCTTTGCCTTGCTTTTCTGTGCCTGCAGGCAGTATATGAAGCTGGTGATGTCTTTACATTAATTTCTGGATTCAGAAATGATAACTCCAAGTCCATTTTAGAAATGACCTCAGGCTTGTCCTCTTTATCTCTTCCAATTCATAACACCAGAAATGTCTATGCTCTATTTCTGACAACTTGACATTTCACTCTCCAAAAAGGCTTAGTGTCATTTGCAAACCTAAATATTCAATTTCTGAATATGGGTGAATATAAGAAAAATGTTAAACCCTGATTCTAGCCTTCAGTCCCAGAAGGCTCCCTACTGTAGTATTTTTTTCTTCTAGTGCAATGCTGTTTATTCTTATTCTAAGTTGTGTCGCCTGATCCATAACTAAATAGATACAGAAATATCGTACATTCAATTTTTTTAAAACAATCTTTGGTGTGAAAGCTTGCCCAAGGCTTTTTGAGTTTAGAATTCATATTCACATGACCTTCTCCTTTTAAAGAATGCAAGGGGTTGGTTAGTTATGACATATCCTTCGGATGGCAGGCTGTGTTGTCCAGAAGGTTCTCCTTTTGCCTAATGTGAAGTGAAGACTCTCTGGTCTGTAGTTGTGTTGGCCCTTTGAAACTGTTTTTCTGCAAGAGTCAATCTGCTGTGTCTCGGGTCCTCTCAATAACTGGTAAAAAGCCTCAGCCAACAGCTTCTTAATTCATCCCACAGATTACTTGAGCACTCCTGACTATAATAGTCAGTTATTTGATTGATGTATGTGTGGTGTTTTCTTAGACTGGGCATAGAAAATCCAATCTAAGCTGGGTGCACTGGTTCACACCTGTAATCCCAGCACTTTGGGAGGCTGTAATGGGAGAATTGCTAAAGTCTGGTAGTTCGAGACCAGCCTGAGCAACACAGGGAGACCCCATCTCTACAAAAATAAAAAATTAAAAAATTAGCCAAGCGTGGTGGCACATGTTTGTGGTCCACAGTACTCAGGAGGCTGAGGTGGGAGGATTGCTTGAGCCTGGGAGGTCAGGACTGCAGTCAGCCGTGATTATGGCACTGCACTCCAGCCTAGGCAATAGAAAGAGACCCTGTTTCAAAGAAAGAAAGAGAGAGAGAGAGAGAAAGAAAGAAAGAGAGAGAGAAAGAAGAAAGAAAAAGAAAGAAAGAAAGAAAGAAAAAGAAAGAAAGAAAGAAAGAAAGAAAGAAAGAAAGAAAGAAGGAAGGAAGGAAGGAAGGAAAGAAAGAAAGAAAAAGAAAGAAAGAAAGAAAGAAAAAGAAAGAAAGAAAGAAAGAAAGAAAGAAAGAAAGAAAGAAAAGAAAGAAAGAAAAAAGAGAGGAGGGAGGAAAAGGGAGGGAGGAGGAAGGAAGGAAGGAAGGAAGGAAGGAAGGAAGGAAGGAAGGAAGGAAGGAAGGAAGGAAATCCAATCCATTTATCCTTTATTGGGTAGCTGCTCCAGAAGACACCATATTGCGTGTGTCTTCCCTTAGTAGGTCCCAAGTAAGCACTTTGTTTCTTTTAGCTTTGATATCCTCTTTCCTTCCCTCAGAGGCAGGCAGTGCCCCTGTCTCTTCCTCCCTCTTCCGGATTTAGAGGGGCTGAGGGGACTGCATTGGTTTCCTAGGAAGCCATGCCACCAGCCTGATTTAAGTTGTACCCGATTCACCACCACATTTCATGGGCTTCCCTACCCTCTGTCTTAAAGCTGAAAGAAACAAAACCCAGGCCTCCCCAGTCCTGCCCTTAGAGTTTATTATCTATCTCATGGGTGTCACTTCAAGGCCAGGACACCAGGCAGTCCTCGGGAGCAAAAGAACTTTGATTTATAGCTGTAATTTTACCTGTACTCTGTGAAACGAATCCTGAGACCGTGTTTCTGTCCACGTACTCCAAGTGTCTGTGGTTGGCATGAACTCAGTGAAATTCCCTTGAAATCCCCACACCAGGGGCACTCTCAAAATCTCAAAATCTGCCTCCTCATTTCTTGTTCCCTCTTTCATGCTCTGAGGATGAGGTTTTCACTGAATCCACTCATGCTTGGCGAGGCTGATGACAGTCAGAGCTTCTTTGTGGGTTTAGAGGTGCCTTGCCCAGGTCTAAGCCCTCAGAGAAAGCTTTCTGGGTCTCTCTCATTCTCTGACGCAGAGGTCGAGTATAAGTGAGCCCTATGGCTTTCTGGCTGGTGCAAGTCTGGCTCTTCCACTCCACTGAGGAGCTCTCCCTGTTTCCTGTGTCCTCTGCAGAGGTGGAAGTGAGTTGGGCTTTGCCTGCCTCTCATCATAGACCCTTCACATCCATTTCACAGCCTGGTCACCTTTGGCTGCAGGGGTAAAAGTCGCTTCCGCCTAGGCCAAAATGCATTGCTGCAGGATTTGGTTTGGAATTTTGTTTAATGATATAAGACTTAAAGCTTCAGATTTAGGGTAAGTCCACAAGGTGGGGCCTGGTGCAGCTTGATAAAGACTACACTTTTATTGAGTGAATTGTTCCTAGCACTTCATGTTCATTTAAGCCTTGTAACATGGGTGACATATTGGGTGATATTATCTTGGTCATCTTACAGACAATGAAACAGATTCAGGGGCCATATTCTTGATTACTAGGTGGTGGCAGAGCCAAGACTTGAAGCTGTGTGTGCCTGAGTCTGAATCTGTGAGACCCTCTGGTCAGTGGTTCTCAATGTGTGGCCCCTGAAGCTGATTAGTAGCATTACCTGCAGCATGTTAGAAATGCAGATTCACAGATCCACTCCTAGACCTTGGGTTTGAAAACCTCTGAAACTCTAGGGGTGGGATCCAGCCACCTGTGTTTTTTGTTGCTGTTGTTGTTTTGTTTTGTTTTTCTGAGATGGAGTCTTGCTCTGCCGCCCAAGCTGGAGTACAGTGGTGGATTCTCGGCTCACTGCAACTCCGCCTCCTGTTCAAGCTGATTCTCCTTTCTCGGCCTCCTGAGTAACTGGGACTAGAGGTGGGGACAACCACTCTGAAGACTCCAGCTACCTGTGTTTTAACAAACCCTGCAGGAGAGTCAGATGCACTTGTGCTGCCTGGCTCCCTGCTGAGTGACATTTGTCCTCAGTATCAACCCGTGCCTGGAGAAGAGAGAAAAGGCTGGAAAATAAGAGAAAGGGGGAAGAGAAGAGAAAGAAAAAGATGTGTTGGAAAGAGAAGGATCAAGTTTAAATGGGACTTTGGGATGGGGCTAAATTCAAAGAAAAGCAAAGTACTCCAACGAAGCCTGGAGGAAGGCCTGCCCCACCTGGTTCCCTGGTAGAGGTCGATATTTTTGACATCTTCATTACTTTGTCCATGACCAGGCTGAATCTGATTTATATATTTGAGAAGATGGCTGGGTATGCAGCTGGTCATTGCTGTAAGGCATGTTTCATATTTTGGGAGTCTGGTTGTACATCCAGGTGAAATTCAGCATTAGCAGGAGGAAAGGCTGCATGAGCAGCAGACACAGGCACTGGCTGTTCAAGGCTTTTCCCAGCCTTCCCAAGAGGCTTCTGCAAAGGAGCTGATTTCACGCTTACTGAGGCTAAGCTTCGTCTCATGATAACAAAGTATAGAGGCAAACTCCCTTTGCGCAGAACCCCATAGAGCCATGGAAATTTATAGCTGGGGACATCACCAGGCAGGAGTCAACTGCAAGTTCAGAGTTGAGTCTGATGAGTAAAATGTGACTTCTGCAAGTTTTCCCTAAACCAACACATCTTCCCTGATAACCACTGACTTAGGAAGCAAGAAAAGGAAGCATCATCTGGCCAAGACTTTTTGGGGTGACTTCCTGAAGATATTTGTGACTTCTTGCAGTAGCTGTCGAGAGCCACAGGAACAAAGTGACAAGAATGGAGGAAAAAAGGAACCTGCAAGCAAAGTTACTTAGAGGAGATGAATCTGGGGCACTGACTTGGGCTTATAGACCTGGCTCCCCAGATCCAGCTTCTATGGAGGTCAAGATTTTTGCCAAAAGAAGCTGTGGCCAGAGCCGGGGCCACTAGCAGGGACTCTCAGTTAGTCCTGGCCTCCTTTAGAGGCCCGGCTGCATCGTCCTGGTGATTTGATGTTTCGTCTATATGAGAAGATCTGAGCTGAACGGAGAAGTTTCATTCTCAGACCATGCACACACGTGGGGAGAGTCTTGAAAGGCCCAGAGAGTGCCCATCTTGCTCTGTGCTTCCCCTTGGCCTTGGCTGCTCTGGCTTTAGTTTTTCCTGTAATCCATCCAGAGAGGGTACTATGCCTGAGTTTGGGTTGGTTCTTCTACCTTGTGGGCTATTTTCTGCCCATCCAGCAAGATAGAGTGCTTGTTCTCCTGCTTACCTCACAAAGATAGATTTCAAAGAGTCCAAAATTCTCCTACTTTCCTTAGTGTGGCATAGGTACCTGGCACACCCAGGGTAAGAAATACAATCATGCCTTCATGCCACCCCAGGTTCCATGGGGCAAGAGGTAGAAATGGGGCTGAGGTCGGATGTGGTGGCTCACACCTGTAATCCCAGCACTTTGGGAGGCTGAGGCAGGCAGATCACAAGGTCAGAGATTGAGACTATCTCAAGAATAGTGGTGAACCCCTACTAAAAAAAGAAGCGGCCGGGCGGTACTCAAGCCTGTAATCCCAGCACTTTGGGAGGCCGAGACGGGTGGATCACAAGGTCAGGAGATCGAGACCATCTCACAACACGGTGAAACCCCTACTAAAAATAAGCAAAAACTAGCCGGCGAGGTGGCGCGCCTGTAGTCCCAGCTACTCGGGAGGCTGAGGCAGGATAATGGTGTAACCCGGGAGGCGGAGCGAGGCAGCTGAGATCCGGCCACTGCACTCCAGCCTGGGTGACAGAGCGAGATTCCGTCTCAAAAAAAAAAAAAAAAAAAAAAAGAAGCCAGGCATGGTGGTGGGCACTGTACTCCCAGCTACTCAGGAGGCTGAGTGTGTGAACCCGGGAGGTGGAGCTTGCAGTGAGCCAATATCACGCCACTGCACTCCAGTCTGAGCAACAGAGCGAGACTGCAAGAAAAGAAAAGAAAAGAAAAGAAATGGGACTGAATACAGTCCTCTGGCTGTATTACACAAGTTGTTTTTGTTTGCCTCAGTGTCTTCTGGGACTGAGTTCTACTTGATCATTTTATAATTAGCCACCAAGAGTCTTGATTTGTAACTTTCAGTACAAGGTAGCGAACACTAAAACTGCTAATCTAATGATGTTAGGGCTCTCCAGGAAAATACAGATAAAAATCAGTATAGCATGATTTACAAGAACACATTACTTCTTTCTGCATGTATATAGAATCATACACACACACACACACAAAGTCAAAACACCAAAATGCTAAGAGCAGAAATTATAGGTATTTTTAAAATAGTCCATATGTTTACTTATCTGTATTTTGAGTCTTCTACAATGAACTTGTATAAACTTATGCAAGTAACTGCATAAACAAAATTTAACATCCAAAGTGAGGGTGATAATTACATCTGCATCAGTTAAAGTGTTTTTGTGAAGATTAAATGAAATATGCCTTTAATATGCTTAGCACTTTCCACAGCACACTTTATTTTTTTTATTTTATTTTTCTCCTAGTCATTTTTTTTTAAATTTTATTATTATTATTAAACTTCAAGTTGTAGGGTACATGTGCAAAACGTGCAGGTTTGCTACATATGTATACTTGTGCCATGTTGGTGTTGCACCCATCAATCCTGTCATTTACATCAGGTATAACTCCTAATGCAATCCCTCCTCCCACTCCCCATGATAGGCCCCTCCAGTGTGATGTTCTTCCCCGAGTCCGGGGATCTCATTGTTCAGTTCCCGCCTATGAGTGAGAACATGCTGTGTTTGGTTTTCTGTTCTTGTGATAGTTGTTTGAGAATAATGGTTTCCAGCTGCATCCATGTCCCTACAAAGGACACCAACTCATCCTTTTTATGGCTGCATAGTATTCCATGGTGTATATGTGCCACATTTTCTTAATCCAATCTGTCACTGATGGACATTTGGGTTGGGATTCCAAGTCTTTACATTGTGAATAGTGCCACAGCACACTTTAAAAAAAAAAGACAAAAACTTAACATCCTATGTGCCAAGCATTATTGTAAATATTTTGCATTAACTACTTAAGCCTACAGCAACCCAATGATGTAGATCATTTATTGCCCCAGTTTTACAGATGAGGAAACTGAGGCACAGAGAAGTAAGTTATTCACATGGCAGAGCCAAGCTTTAAACCTAGGTACACCAGTTCCAGAGTCTGTTCTTAGGCACTTTGCTTTACTACCTCTTGACGGATCATAACTGATCAATTAGTGTGAGCTGCTGTTATTGTTTTTATTAAGGATTTACACACAGAACTACTGAATAACAAAAGGTAGCTCTATAGGAACCATGGTAGCTCTGCAGTGAGGACAGAGGAGAGCGCTGATAAGGCATTTTCCAATTTCCATGGTGTAAATATCCTCATCACGACTAAGATTGATTTCAAGCTATCAGCATGCAGTACTAAATGGGGAGTCAGGAAGAGATGTGCACTATCAGCTCTTGTTAGCTGGATGTAACTTGATTCAGGACACCACTGCTGTCTGATCAACATGGGTTCTACTCGCTGACTGGCATTTCTGCTTGTACCAGCTGTCCAGAGCCTAGAGTGACTTCCCAGCCTGGGAGGAGCTCAGGCCCTGCTGGGCAGAGCCAGGCCAGGGCTCTCCTGCCATCCTTGTTTGATTAAGCTTTCAGGCTGTCTCTGTGCAATTGCCAGAGGTAGTACCTGTCCTATGAACCAGTAGGGCTGGGTTCTGTGTTGACAACCGTCTCTAAAATGCAGATTTTAAATGGTATCTTAATAGTTAGACCCATTTTTAATCTATATAAATACAAAATATAATTTATATATATAATTTAATTATAACTATATACACAATTTAATTATAATAATAATGTGAGTGATAATAATTAAGCAGGATTTATAATGTACTACACAGCAAGCAAGTAAAATATCATAATCTCATCTAATCCTCCAATAGCCCTATATGATGCAGGCATTAATATAATTATTATCTCCATTTTGCAGATGAGGAAACTGAGGCACAGAGGGGTTAAGGAACCTACCCAAGGATGCATAACTAATAAAAGGAGGAGCTGGTATTTAACACGAGAGAAAGATTTGAAGGGCAGGCAGCATGCATTCATTGTGAATAGTGGTACTTTCTAGGCAGTGTGATTCACATGGGTGGACCACACTTTTATCATGCATTTGTGTGAAGTTTATTTTCACAGTGGCTAGTGTTAACTTTGGCTATTTCAAAAGCTAGAAATCAAAATATTGCTTCTCAAGCTGTGTCTGATTCTGAGGTCTGAGCCTTCTCCCACCCTATCCTTTCAATCTCCGAAAGAACAACAAATAGAATTCTGGCTTCCTCCTGCTGTAGCAGTAACATTTTAGGATCAGTGAATGTATGCGGTTTTGAACCTGATCAAGTCAAAGTTCGAGTGAAGGATGGAAAGGTATGTGTGTCGCTGAGCGGGAGAACAGGTACGACTGCCTGGGATCGGAAAGTACAGCCACATGAACATCTGCAAAGAGTCTGGCCACGCCTCTGTGTGGATGAGAAGGATAACATTCTGCCGGGCTCGGTGCTGCCAAGATCGAGTCGCTTGCTACCCTTTGCACTCTGCAAACCCCTGTAGCCCTGCAGCCCTGCAACCCATGTGACCCTTGCAACCCGTGTTATCCCTGTGGAAGCCGATTTTCCTAGGAAGATGATTTTGTAAAGTGCAATATAGAACCCATTACTGTATTGCAGTCCAGCTACTCCACCCAGGCAGCTCTTCAACAAGCCCTCTCCTTCCCGTGCCCCAAGTTGTTCAAGTAGGTAGGAAACTGAATACACTGTAATCTGCTGGTGTTGTGTGAAACTTTTGTTAAACCCACGTGAGCCCTGCAGAGTTAGTGAACACCGAATAATCAGTGATGGGAATAGAAGAGACATATATGGTGAGACTCCAACCTCCTGCACTCCTCCTCCATACCCAACTACCTCCAAACTCCAGGAGAAGACACTTTTCTTGGTGGGCATCCCCAGACATTGTTTTCCCAGATGATCCAGCGAAATGGCTCAGCTCCAGAAACCAAATGGTCAAAGCAGAAACAGATTAACTAGAGTTGAAGGCACATTTTCAAAAGCTACTGCAGTGGGAGTCCTGAAAGAGACTCGGCACAGTGGGGTTGTGGTTTTACTGACAATGATCAGAATACAAAAAGTATGGGGGTGGTAGTGGGATGAGGGGCACGTTTGCTTTCGGCCAAGGCGGTGGCTACAGCTTGTCATTTTTCAACATTCGTGGTTTAGAATTGGCCGCTCTGGTTAGCATATGGATGCTAAACAAAATTGTTTAAAAAAAAAAAAAAGCAAAACTGAAACTAAACAAACCAGCTTTGGTTTGCAACCTACTTGAGATTTATTACAATCCATTCTTTTTCTGTTTTTTTTTTTCTTTTCTTTCTTTCTTTTTTTTTTTTTTTTTTTTTGACAGAGTCTTGCTCTGTCCTCCAGACTGGAGTACAGTGGTACAATCTCAGCTCTCAATACAACTTCAGCCTCCCAGGTTCAAGCGACAGAGCCTGCCTCAGCCTCCTGAATAGCTGGGATTACAGGCGTGCAGCACCAGCGCTTGGCTAATTTTTTGTATTTTTAGTAGAGTATAGGGTTTGGCCATTGTTGGCCAGGCTGGTCTCGAACTCCTGATCTCAGGGGATCCACTGCTTTGGCCTCCCAAAGTGCTGGGATTACGGGCATGGTCACCATGTCTCGCCTCTTTTCTTTTCTTTTTTTTTAGACAAGGCCTTTGCTCAGTCACTAAGTCTGGAGTACAAGTGGTGAGCAATCATGGCTTACTGCAGCCTTGATCTCCTGGGCTCCACGATCCTCCCACCTCAGCCTCCTGTGTAGTTGGGACTACAGGTGCATGTTACCAAGGCAGGCTAAGTTTTGTATTTCTGCGGAGATACATTTTGCCCCTGCTGCCAAGCTGGTCTTAAACTCCTCAGCTCAAGAAATCCACTGGTTTCCTCGGCCTCAAAAAAATGCTGGGACTACAGGTGTGAGTCACTGTACTGGCCTCGCTTTCAATTTCTGAAACTGCTTAGACACAGAAGCCTGGGTCAGGAGTGGAAAAGTACAGCTTTCACAAACGATAGCGTAGTCAGCCTGAACTTGGATCTGCCTGGAGGACACAGTCCATAAGCCAGGGTTCTTTATTACCAGGATTGAAATAAGCAGCACAAAGAGATGATGGGGAAGCCTAACCTGACTCGGTGAACATAAAACCCTCCAGTTTGCACAGTAAGTTCTCCCTGAGTTTCAGCGTACGTGGTGACAGCAGTAGTTCTCAGCATTGCCTCAAGACCGGGACTGCTTTTGGGGCGTCATGGATGCCAAGCAAAACATACCAAACAAACAAACAAACAAACTAAACTAAAACTAAAAACTAAAAAGGCAAAAAACAAAAGACAGATGTCTATGTCCTTTCTCCAGAGAACCTAATGTAATATAGGTGAGATGCAACCTGGGCATTGTGACTTTAAAAAGCTTCCCAGGTGATTTAAGAATGCAGCTAAGTGTTTGAGAAGTTCTGGATGGGATATTAAAGCTATCCCAGGCTTTTATTTTAAAACTTCCCTTTAGGCCAGACACGGTGTGGTTTCCTCTGTGTAATCCCAGCACTTTAGGAGGCTGAGGGGAGAAGATCGCTTGAGCCCAGGAGCTGGAGACCAATCTGGGCAACATAGCAAGACCTCATCTCTACTAAACTTTATTTGTTTTTATTTTGAGACGGACCTGTTTCTGCTCAAGCTGGGAGTGCAGTGGCTGCTCACTGCAACCTCCTTTCTCTCGGTTCAAGCCGGTCTCCTCCTGCCTCAGCCTCTGAGTAGCTGGGATTACAGGCATGTGTACCATCACGCCCAGCTTAAGTTTGTGTATTTTTAGTACAGATGGGGTTTCAACATGTTGGCCAGGCTGGTCTCTAACTCTGACCTCCACCTCGCCTTTGGCCTCCCAAAGTGTTGGGATTACAGGCGTGAGCCACTGCGCCTGGCCTCTACTAAAAATTAAAAAAAAGCAGTTAGGCGTGATGGCCCATACTTGTGGTCCTAGCTACTTGAGGAGGCCGAGGCAGGAGGATCACTTGAAGCCTCGGATATCAAGGATGCAGTGAGCTATGATCATGCTACTGCACTCCAGCTCGGGCAACAGAGCAAGACCTTGTCTTAAAACAAACAAAAATTCACAAACAAAAAGCTTCCGTCTAAGGCTGTAGAATACTGATGGTGGTAACAGACATATTTTGCTTTCACCAAGTGGAAGTAATGGCCCTCTAACAGAAGTGTATGAATAAACATACTGAACATTTCAAAACTTTACCTGTATAAGTATCATGCCATGTTTTGAATATATGTTTATAAATATCCTATTTTCTAAGGTATAAATTTTGGAAAATGAATTTGAAGAAATTTCACCTCAGAGAGTCAATGGGATACATTGGGCTCTTACAGCCACCAATACTTCTTAAATGTGGAAAATAAACACTAAAAACATATTTTTACAAACTTGAAGCATTTATCAATGATTTTATTTTGTCTTATATAAAGCCACTGAGGTCCTAACCCATTGGATGCAGGAACTTCTGTCCTCCAGGTGCCACATTCCAGGACAATTTTAGGAATATCTCATTGTTTGAATTCACCTACACACTGACCCATCCTCCTTATTGTTGGTCCTGCAGCTCATCCATTCATCCGTCAACCTGCCAGCCAGGTAAAGGGAGAGGAGAAAGAAAAATTTATCATTTTGAATGCCATACTGTGCCTGCAACAGGATGGATAGAGAAAAGCACCCTTTTCACAAATGCCTCACATTAGACTCGGGCGAGGATGCTATAAAGGGGCTCAGGTGGAGGGTGAGAGAGCCAAAGAAACCGGAATGCAAGAGCTAGAGAGGACAAAGGGCCTTCCAGACTGGCCCTGGGCATTCTTAAGGTTTATTGTCGACATCCTGTCTCTCAAGGAAGCCCAGGTAAGCCTGGAGTCTGGACTGCAGGAATTGGTGGCCTTGGTGTGCTCACCACCTCTAATAGATTTGCCAGAAAGACAAGATGTATCTACTGAGTCCACTGCTCTGAGTAATTCATTGGCACCAGGAGCTTCTATATTTTAAGGCAAGACTAAGCTCGGTGGTATACTTGTCAGCACTCTGACAGTGTGGAATCAAGAAGTAAATCATACAGTGTGGGAGGGCGTCTCTCCAATCTCAGAGAAGGTGTGGGGAGGGGAAGCAGGGTCATAGGAGGTGAGCTCTGAAGGTGGCCCTGTCTGAGGCCTGCAGGAAAAGGCACAGAGCAGGGCTAGTCCATGAACCAATCTGGTTCCTGGGGATGTGGAGGAAGTTGATACAAAGGAGAAGAAAGAAGAAACATTTGCTGCTTTCAAAATTGCCCTTGGCTGGTCGGATGAACCCTGTGGAGTTCACAGCTCAAGCAGGCCTTTAATGCAATTTTGTAGGTCCGGTCCAGTCAGAACATCGACTCCATCTACCTGGGTAGGAGATGGGAATGGGGGTGACTCTTGAAGGGGCAGAAGAGAGAAATCAGCCCACATGGCAACTGAAAGATGAGAGGCTCTGAGCTGCTTCACTGCCCAGCACATGTGTGATGAATGAACATATAAATTAGGCAAATGTGCCACCTTCTAATAAACGTGTTTGGTAATACTGTAGAACTAAGAGCAATGAATATAATTATACTTCTTTATTATTATTATTATTTTTGAAACAGGGTCTTGCTCTGCCCAGGCTGGAGTGCAGTGGCACAATCTTGGCTCACTGCAGCCTCAAACACCCTGGCTCAAGCCCACCTCAGTGCCTCTTATAGCTGGGACTACAGGCACATGCCACCATGCCTGGCAAATTTTATCTATTATTTTGTAGAGATGGGGTCTCAATACATTGCCCAACCTCTGGCTTTCAAGTGATCCTCCCACCTCAGCCTCTCAAAGTGCTGGTATTACACCTGTGAGCCACCACCTGACCTGACCATTCCACTTCTTAGTGTTCAGGAATAGATTTTAGAGCCAAAGATCTATTTCTGAATTTAAAATTTCTTGGGTATAGGACCAGGGAGAATCCATATCCATTGACTATCTTGTATTATTTGATTTCTTTTAAAGCTCATGCAGTGAATTATTTTATAAAATGATATTGTTGGGACAGGCGTTGTGGCTCACGCCTGTAATCCCAGCACTTTGGGAGGTTGAGGTGGGTGGATCACCTGAAGTCAGGAGTTCGAGACCAGCCTGGCCAACATGGTGAACCCACTGCTAAATACAAAAAAATTAGCTGGGTGTGGTGGTGTGCACCTGTAATCCCAGCTATTTGGGAGGCTGAGGCATGAAGCTCTTGAACCTGGCAGGCGGGAGGCTGCAGTGAGCCGAGATCACACCGTTGCACTCCAGCCTGGGCCACAAGAGTGAGACTTCATCTCAAAAAAAAGAGAAGAAAATAAAATGATATTATGAAAAATCCTCAGGTGACTGTTCTTAAGTCATTGTAAATAGTTTTATTTAGTGAGTTCTTCATGTCCCCAGAACTAATGGAATAAGTAAGTTTTAAAATTATTTCAACTTCTCTTCCATGCACAAAAATTCCTTCTTCTGTCTCTATCTCTGTCTCTCTCTGTTGCTTTCTTGTCTCTCTTGTCTTCC